CCTCAGGAAAGGTGCTGGCTGGGAAGGGACACAGTATGGGGGCGATAGTTTAAGTAGTGTGGTATAGTGTGGCAATCCCACGGTGGAACTGGGTGTTGTAGTCACCCAGGACTCTCAGCCAGAGAGACTGAGCAGTTCCAGGAAACAAACTATTTTGCTAGGAAAGAACTGGCTTTGCAGTTCTCTCCAGAAAACCTGGATCTGGCATGGGGATCCTGGAACTGGGAGATTTCAAAGAGAATTGTGAGGGATGAAATCTCGATTCCTGGGTCCATGGTTTAGTAGCAGCCAGCACCTGATTGCACACCTGTGCACAGCCCTTATGGAAAGCGTGCTGGCTAATGTTTGGGGCTCCAGCTGGGAAGAGGAACAGGGATGTTGGTAATATCGGCCAGGTGATCTGAGATCCTGTTTTTTAACATGCGTTTAGTTTTGCCTACGTAATACATATCGCAACTACATGACATAAGATAGATCACCCCCTTTGTATTGCAGTTGACAAAATGCTGGGCTTTAAATTGTTTCCCATGGGGTGTAGTTATTTGTGTCCCGATGAGGACGTAGCGGCAGAACTTGCAACTCTGGCACTGGAAAGTTCCCCTATATTTGCAGCAATAATTATTGCTGTTAGTAAACTCACTCCTAGTTAGTTTCTCCTTATGGGACGGGCAGCGTCGGTAAGTGATTTGAAATTCGGCCATCTTTGGTCAGGCAATGCCAATGTTTTTCCAAGATCCTCAATACTTCACTGTATTGGCTATTATAAGTCAAAATCAGTCTCACCAAGGGATTTTCCTTTTCGTTTGGTTTCAGTTTAAGCGTAGTTTTATTATTTTGGGACAAGGGGGGAAACGTTTGCGATTTGCGCTTGAAAAACGCACCAGTAGGTGGGACAAGCTCATCCTCATCCTCATCTTCCTCAGAGATGTGTCCCTCATCCCAGAGCTCTCGTAAATCCCTTAATGCCCTGTAGTCCTTCCTGGAAAATTCTTTCCAGTCCTTGAGGATACCCCCCAAAGGTAAATTTTCCTTGTCGTGCATTTGCTTTAATAAAAGCCTGTGTGCAAAAAGATTAATATCCTTGATGATATTAAATCTGTCCGGTGGTGCCTCAGGACAAAAGGTTAGGCCCTTAGAGATGAGACCCAACTCCACTTCCGTAAAGGTATAGGGGCTTAGATTGATAACTTGGAGATTGTCTACATTTGGGGGCGTTTGAGGAGATATTGATCCATAATCGTTTTTTTTGTACTTAATAGGGCTACGGGGGGATGGGGATCTGTGTTTTGTCTTTTCTTTCCCCTATATATGGGACTCCCTCCTTTGGAGTGGGGGGATTCCAACCCATAGATCATGCTAGGAGGGAACACACTACAGAGGTGTATACTTGTTCGTGGCGTGTTTATAAGGTTAGTAAATCAACCCCAATGTATTATGTTTGCTGGATTACAAGCGGACTGTGTATTATTGTTGAAGTCATGTTTCTGCTCTGGAAGCAATAAAAGTGTTCGGTTTATGTTTAAAACAGCTCCAAGACTGATCTTTGAGGACTCGCCATTTGGGCTACATTCCCCAAATATCACAGTAGCAACAACTGTCATAAACTTCACCCGGGAATTGCAAATAATTTTATTAGCTAGTTGTAAACTTCTATTCTAAATGAGTCCGTCGCTGTATGTGAGACTGGAGGAGGAGCGATGGCGGCACCTAGGCTGGGAATACAAATCTACAGATGTGGGAGGGAAGTGGAGGGACAGCCAAAAAAAGCAGTACTGGTGACGCAGGTAAGAAGGGGAGGGAAACCAAGGAGCAGCAAACACAGCCTGACGGAGAGACATCAACAAAGGATTGCGGAACACTATTAATAATCCGGAGTGAACTGAACCACATCAGTGCCAAATAAAACGTCTGTAGTTTCCTCATGTGGCTTTGGTGGGGGGGGGGGATGCCTTGAAGGTATCAAGATTAAACATGTAGTGGGCACCCAAAACCGAGTCAGTCAGTAAAGTTGGCAGCAGCGATAACCCCCAACATTGGTGCCGTTCAGAGCAGTAATAACCCCCATGACTACACATGACTTGTATGAGGACAATATTTGCTTATCGCGAAGTTCAGTTTTAAAATGTATCCTCAGCACTGATCCCTGCTTTCCCCTCTCTCCGGTGTCTCCATCTCCCCCCCGCCCCCCCAATCATTTTCTGGGTTTCCATTCTTTGGCCACATGATTGGTCGGGCTCCGATGGCATAACCCCCACGTGTGCACACAGGAGTTACTTCATCTCTGCATGCCGGCTCTGTGTGCTGCGCGGCATACAGAAAAAAAGGAATTGCAGAATGGTAACAAGAAGCTGTGCGAGTCTCTTCTGACATTAAAAGCATAATAATAATTTGTCTTTTTCCCCTTTTCTTCCACTTTAAGACCTTACAGAAGGAGACTGAGAATTTAGGATCTAGGTTTGATGTGTTTTATAGTTGCAGAACATATTTAGGAAAGTTGAGTACTGTTGTGCTTGTAGTAGAAGAACAATGAATACTGAGCGCCCCCTGCTGTACGAGCTTTGTATTACAGTTGGTAGTGATGCCGTATTACTGTGAAGAATACAAAGGGCTCACATGCTCCCTACTGTGGCTCTGTTAATTCATTACAATGTTCTTACCATAATAAAGGTTCTGAATGTGTTGGGGTCTTACTGAGCATGTAAGGTCCAGCCTAAGGTTCTCCCTCTAATGATCTGTTTTTTTTTCTCTTCAGTTACAGGAATCCACTATTTTACATATCTGCACCCCGACATGGTCATTACAGGTCCTGATTCCTCTATATAGATATTTATATCACTAGAGGGATCCCAAGCAGGAGGAAGGAGGTCCTGATCCCTCTATATAGATCTTTATTATCACTAGAGGGGTCCCCAGCAGGAGGAAGGAGGTCCTGATCCCTCTATATAGATCTTTATTATCACTAGAGGGATCCCCAGCAGGAGGAAGGATGTCCTGATCCCTCTATATAGATCTTTATTATCACTAGAGGGATCCCAGCAGGAGGAAGGATGTCCTGATCCCTCTATATAGATCTTTATTATCACTAGAGGGATCCCCAGCAGGAGGAAGGATGTCCTGATCCCTCTATATAGAGCTTTATTATCACTAGAGGGATCCCCAGCAGGAGGAAGGATGTCCTGATCCCTCTATATAGATCTTTATTTAGAAATATTTGTCCATTTCTGGAGATCTCACTTACAAAAAGATATTGATAAGATGAAGCTTAAAGAGACATAGTCGCGCTCTTGAACGACTGTGGCGAAAAACTAGATCTCTGCAAGACTTCACCCTGTACAAAGCTGCCCTCCTAAAATATAACTCCTCCCTCCGAGCTGCCGAACAGACTTATTTTGTTACTCTCATTAACACACTCTCATCCAGACCCCGCCAACTCTTTTCTACTTTTAACTCTCTACGTCGTCCTCCACCACCACCACCACCCACTAACTCACTGACTGCCCAGGACATCGCCATTCATTTCAAAAACAAAATAGATACAATTCGGGATCAGATCGCCACTGTCCAATCACCTTCCTCTATTCATGTACCCGTCCCTCCATCACACTTGTCACTCTCCTCTTTTGACCCGGTCACCACAGAGGAGGTTACAAAGCTTCTCTCTGACACCCACCTCACCACTTGCCCCCTGGACCCTGTTCCTTCACCGCTACTTCGGTCACCTTCATACTCTATCCTACACTCTCTTACCCACATTTTCAATCTCTCACTCTCTACTGGAATCTTTCCCTCCCCTCTAAAGCATGCCCTGGTCACCCCAATACCCAAAAAACCCTCAATGGACCCCACCGACCTCAATAATCTCAGACCAATCTCCTTACTCCCATTCACCTTCAAACTCCTAGAACGCCTCATCTACAGCCGCCTGAGCCGCCACATCGCTGATAACAACCTTCTCGATCCCTTACAATCTGGCTTTCGCCCCCCAACACCACTGAAACCGCCCTCCTAAAACTCACCAATTACTTAATAACAGCTAAACACAAAGGCCACTATTCCTTACTCTGCTATTAGACCTCTCTGCTGCTTTTGACACTGTTGACCACCCGCTGCTCCTCCAAAAAATTCCACTCGCTTGGCCTACAAGACTCTGCTCTCTCATGGTTCTCCTCCTACCTGTCTAAGTGCTCCTTTAGTGTCACCTACAAATGTATATCCTCCCCTCCTCTTCCTCTTCCTGTAGGGGTCCCCGAGGCTCTGTATTTGGACCCCTTCTCTTCTCCATCTACACCTCCTCTCTTGGTCAGTTAATAACCACACATCGTCTCTTGCCCACCTTGACTGCCTTTAGGCGATCCCTAAAGACTCATCTCTTCAGGGAAGCCGATCCCACCTCAACCTAACCGCCCAACCATCACGTTCTCAAACCATCTCCACACAGCTCCCTCCTCATGTATCATTTCCCCCTCCTTCTTAGAGTGTAAGCCCTCAGGGGCCACAGGCCCTCCTTACCATCTTGTCTTGAATTGTATTGTAACTGTAATGTCTTCCTTATATTGTAAAGCGCTGCGCAAACTGTTGGTGCTCTATAAATCCTGTATAATAATAATAATAAAGCTTAAAGTAGAACTGAAGCCCAGTGGCAACAACAGGAAGTGAGAGGATATCCCTGGTGTCCCCAATGAGAGATTTCCCAACTATTCCTGTTCTGATGACAACCCAAAATTTGGGATTTTCTTTCACTTTTAGTGATAACTGTCACCAGGACTAACATGTAGGGTGATCCTCCCTCTGGCCAACAGGAAGTGAATCCATACTGTGTAAGTTAGAAAAAAAGAGGGCAGACTGGATGGATCATTCCATTTTATTGATTCTACCTTTATTCCAGGTCTCCTGTGTGTCCTGATCACATCCGTGTCATCCGGACCGGTGTATGTACGGAGCGGAGCGGACATCACGGGATGTGATATGACGTGTCCTCAGGATGATGTTATCCTGGAGCTGTACAGACATTGTGGAGGGAAGGAGAAGACATTGCTGGAACTTCATTGTTATTACAACCTCACTAAATCACATGACCCCAGACTTCACCTGGACACAAGGAGCGGCTGCTGGAAGCTGACACCGGCCCGGAAGGATGATTCCTGTGTGTATAAGATCTGGTGTTACTGTGACTCGCATTATCTAATATCCTCTACAGACATCCGTGTGCTGGGTAAGAGGCCGTATACTGCACCACACAACATCACACTTCTCTCCGCACTGCATTGTACTCTACAGGGAAAGGTGAATTGTAGACAGTTTAGAGTTTAAGGGTTAATCTTTATTGGCTGACAAGAGTATGTCACAGCAAAAAGCACCAACACCGATCAGCCAGAACATTGTGACCACTTAGAGGTTAAGGGAATAACATTGATTATCTGGTTACAATGTTACCTGGAAGTGGGGGGGATATATTAGAAAGGCACCTGGAAGTGGGGAGGGATATATCCCATGATATTACAATGACACCTGGAAGTGGGGGGGGGGATATTACAAAGACACCTGGAAATGCAAGCTTCCAGGACCCATTCGGTTCCTTTCTTAGGCATTATACAAAGATGAAGCTATACACTTAGGAGGCCAGCAGCACTGGGGACTGTATGCAAAGAGAGGGGCTGCAGATCACATGACTAACGTTAAGAGCCTGTTCACACTAACGCACAGCAACACACTTTACCTACATTTGTCCAGTTCAATGGGATTCATTCTTAAAGGAGAACTATGAGGTAAGTGTTTTTCCCCATAGTTCTCCTAAGGGTCATGGGAGGACACAAACTAGCGTCCTCCCGTCATCCTAAGCTCAGTATGTAGAGAGCTACAGCTCGCGGTATACTGAGACGGCGCAGCCAGGACGAATCCCAACATTACTTTCTGGATCCACCCAGCTGCGTGATTGACCGCTGGCTCTGCCTATCTAGAGGCAGATCCAGCAGAACCCGCACCCTCCCCCCGTGAGTGACAGTCACGGCTCTCTGCAGGCATAGAATCGAGAAGTGAGCGAACAACGGTATGGGTTCGCTCACTTCCCGATCTATTGAGCCGACGTGTCACAGTTTCATTGTCACAGGTCGGCTAGAACTATGAGGCTGAGTGATTTTCACTCACCTCATAGTTCTCCTTTAATGAAACCCCAACACACCTTGCCAACAATGCTGCATTCACCTTTTTAGTGCATTAGGCAGCCTGTTCAAATGAATGTTCTGCTATAACGCAGTGGACTATAATGCGCGGTTTAACACAGGTGCACTAATGCACCATAGTAGTGTGAATAGGCCCTTTGTGTGTGCACAAGAGCTCGCACTTTGTTCTATGTGTCTGAGCTCTGAGCTGATGATTTGCTGTGCGCGACGTGTCACCAGGGCTGTGCGCGACGTGTCACCAGGGCTGTGCGCGACGTGTCACCAGGGCTGTGCGCGACGAGTCAGCAGGACTGTGCGTGGCGCGTCACCAGGGCTGTGCGCGACGTCTTGCGGGAGGATGTGAGTGGTGGGAAGGAGGAAACGTTTGTCCAGATCGGCGCTGTAAACAACTGTCATCAGGTCCCCAGAAGGCTGCCTGAGGTCCCCTCCAAGCGTGGGACCTTAGGGAAGCCGCTAACAGCCGCTAAAATGCAAAGTAATGCACTTTGGAATTAAAAATAAACAAATGGGTTATACAATTATGGGTATGCCGCTGGGGAAGTCAGAAATGGAGAAGGATTTGGGGGTCATTGTAGACCACAAACTGAAAGGTAGTTTGCAGTGCCAGGCTGCTGTAAACAAAGCTAGCAGGGTCTTGTCCTGTATTAAAAAGGGGATGTATTGCAGGGACAAGTCTATAATTTTGCCACTTTATAGATCATTGGTTCGACCTCATCTGGAGTACGCGGTCCAGTTCTGGTCACCAGTACTAAGAAAAGATGTCCTTGAGTTGGAAAAAGTCCAGCGGAGGGCAACCAAACTAATTAGGGGTATGGAGGACCAGAGCTACGAGACGAGGCTACTAAATTTAAACATGTTCACATTAGAGGTGAGGAGATTAAGGGGGGATATGATTTCCATGTACAAAATGTTTAATGGTGGTAGCAACATTAGCGATAAACTGTTTAAAATTAACTCCGTTACAAAAACTAGAGGCCATCACCTAAAATTGGTGGAAAAAAAATTCCAGCACAAGGGGCGAAGGGGGTTCTTCACAGTAAGATCAGTTAGGGTCTGGAACTCACTGCCACAGACAGTGATTTCAGCAAAGAATGTGGAATTGTTCAAGAAACTTTTGGACGATTTCTTAAGGGACCGTAATATACAGGGGTACAGGTACTCCTAGAATGAGATCCTAATAGGTTGGACTTGATGGACTAATGTCTTTATTCAACCTCAAATACTATGTAACTATGTAACATTTAAAAATGTTATGCGCCAGTATCAGGAAGCAAGGAGGTGTCTGGTAGTATTGGTATTAGTGCATCCCTACAATTTAGCCTTTATTGTAATGTACTTAATAACAAAACAACAAGAAGCAAAAAAAAAAAAGGCATCGTGTAGTTTTTTTGCTCACCATATGTCATTCTTTGAAGGACAGATGTAAAATGCTGGAGAAACTTTAAACCAATTTAGTTGCGCTAGGAAAAATGTGAAAAACACCAGCTGCAACAATGTGTATAAACGTGATTAATGTGAGCGATTATGTTGCGCTTGGTAGTGAGCAATATTCTTTACTGTATCACCTTTCAGTGTTTCTATCTCAATGGAAATGTTTGTTATATTAAGTGAAAAATAAATGAATAAATGGACAGAACAAAAAATTTGTAAATGGTGTAAAGTATATATAATAAAATTTATAAATTATAAACTGCACCTGTGTATTGTTCAGTATTTCGTTAGTTAAACATGTTGTGATGTGACAATTAATAAACAATATTCTGTGATTAGGCTCTCAACCACAATACCTATATAAGTTGCATGTGCATTCAAATTGGTTAATTCCAGTTAGACATTTATTTGACTCAGAGTGAGCAATAGTGATGGTAGCTTACATAAATAAAACATTTATCGTCGCCCCAAAACGAAAAAACACAAAAGGTCAGAACGAACCATTACTATTGGTCACTCTGAGTCAAATAAATGTCTAACTGGAATTAACCAATTTGAATGCACATGCAACTTATATAGGTATTGTGGTTGAGAGCCTAATCACAGAATATTGTTTATTAATTGTCACATCACAAACATGTTTAACTAACTAAATACTGAACAATACACAGGTGCAGTTTATAATTTATTAATTTTATTATATATACTTTACACCATTTACTAATTTTTTGTTCTGTCCATTTATTCATTTATTTTTCACTTAATATAACAAACATTTCCATTGAGATAGAAACACTGAAAGGTGATACAGTAAAGAATATTGCTCACTACCAAGCGCAACATAATTGCTCACATAAAATGCTGGAGAATCTTGGATGGTCCACTTCCTCTGTGTAAATTCCCTTGCCAGGACCTGGCATTCATATATAGGTGGCCCCGTCTGCCCTGACCCTGAACATCAGTGATATGCAGCGGCATCCTAAGCTCCTGTCACTGACAGGCAGCCACTGTACCTCCCAGTTGCAGCCCTCAGTGAGTTGCTGGGCTGGAGGACGGCATCGCAGGACATCAGCATGACAGAGACAGTTGAGAGCCGCCGCGTGCCCCCTAATGGCTGCCCCTCCTTGGGCAGTGCCCGAGTGCCAGAATGGTCAGTCCACCCCTGTGTCTGACCATCTCTGCCTACAGTATTTTCAAAATCACTGACAGATATGATATTCGTTCTATTCCTCACATACAGTATTGAGCACACAGTCTGTTATACCGGTTTTATTTCTCTTCTCACAGATAAAACAATGTACATCCGTCCAACTATCCTAAGCATATTACTTCCTGTGACAGCTCTAGTGTGTATAGTGATGATTGCAGTGTCAACGGTGGTATATGTGATGAGACGTAGAGGTGAGTAACATTGTAATGATTTGACTTTCGTAATTTTTTTCTCTCCAGATAATCCAGCAATCCCTAATGTAGTGGAAGATATACTAAGATATACTGAACCTTCAGAACAATTTATTAAAGGAGAACTATGAGGGGGGGGGGGGGTTTTTTGGGCGGATCCTGGCACAATTGCCGGGATCAGCTTCAGCTGCGGCGTCTCAGTATACCGCGAGCTACAGCGGTATATTGTCATTGTCACAGGTCGGCTAGAACTATGAGGTGAGTGAAAAGCACCCCCCCCTCATAGTTCTCCTTTAATAAATTGTTCTGAAGGTTCTATATGTGACACTTTATTTAGGAGTATTGGTGATAACGGAGGGAATTGTATATAAAGCGGTATTGGTTTATTGGTTCTCAGTATATTCCGCCAGTGTTGCAGAACAGCAAGCTGCAACAAAATGGGGGCAGTGTGAGCGAACCTTCAGTGAACGGTAATACCCGGGGGAGCACAACTACTCCATGTCATCTTGTTATTCTGTACAGGTTCTCATTATCCAGGTCATGGTAATAATAGTGAGTGGACGTGTCCTGTAATGTTGAAGATGTTTCATTTCACTCCTCTTGCTGTTTCCTCCAAATATGAAAGATCCCGCAGAACGAATGAGACCTTCATAACATGGCCCCGGGATGTGGGCAGCTACAGATCACCAATAAAATACCGCCTGAGAGATAGTGGGGGATTACATTTTGGTTGGATTCGGGCAGACTGGATTGTCTGTATTGGGTGGAGGAGCTCATACGTTATGTATGTTATAAAACTGTTCATTAGTGGAGCGGGATTTGGGAAATAGATAAGTAATTATGTTCACTATCACGTCCTCAAACATTTCATCCCCACACAGCTACCTACTCATTAGTGATGGGTTTGGGCGTGTTGGCAGCTACAGGCGCCGAGCCCGCCAGGAAGATGACAGGGCCAATCACAGGCACTGAGACATTTCCCGATCTCTGCAGCTGCGGACTGGGATAATGTCTCAGTACCTGTGATTGGCGCTGTCAGCTTCCTGGCAGGCTCGGCACGTGTAGCTGCCAACATGTCCGAGCCCATCACTACTCCTCATGTATCACTTCCCCACCGTTTCCCTCAGGGGCAGGGCCCTCCTTACCATCTTGTCCTGAATTGTATTGTGAGTGTAATGTCTTCCTTATATTGTAAAGCGCTGCGCAAACTGTTGGCGGCTATATAAAAGATAATTTGACCTAATTTACTACATTGTAAAGTGAGCCTGTGTGCATCTCCATCATCCAAACCTGTGTGGGGGGAATTAGGGGAAAAGTAGAGCTGATATCTCACATGATTGGATGTTTGAAGTGGATACACGTCTACTGTGCTTGGCACTTGTTAGTAGATCAGTGTCATGTGTGTCCGCCATTTTGTTTTCCAGCACAACGTTCTCCACGGCCTGGCATTGAACATACAGCTGTAAGTATTATGTGAGAAGTGCAAACTTCTAGGATTCAGTATAATATTTATGTTAGCATTTGGACAATATCAGACAAGTGATCTCCAGCCTCTCATATCATATCTAAGCTTCCAGTGACTTCAGACATACTGGAACTGGCCACTCTCTCAGAAGCTAAAACAGTCAGGAAGATGGATATGTAGTCCCATAGCCGCTATATGAGAGGATACATGGTCCCACAACTGGTATATATGAGAGGATACATGGTCCCACAGCCGCTATATGAGAGGATACATGGCCCCACAACTGGTATATATGAGAGGATACATGGTCCCACAGCCGGTATATATGGGAGGATACATGGTCCCACAGCTGGTATATATGAGAGAATACATGGTCCCACAGCTTGTATATATGAGACGATACATGGTCCCACAGCTGGTATATATGGGAGGATACATGGTCCCACAGCTGGTATATGTGAGAGGATACACGGTCCCACAGCTTGTATATATGAGAGGATACATGGTCCCACAGCTGGTATATGTGAGAGGATACATGGTCCCACAGCTTGTATATATGAGAGGATACATGGTCCCACAGCTGGTATATATGGGAGGATACATGGTCCCACAGCTGGTATATGTGAGAGGATACACGGTCCCACAGCTTGTATATATGAGAGGATACATGGTCCCACAGCTGGTATATATGAGAGGATACAGGGTCCCACAGCTGGTATATATGAGAGGATACATGGTGCCACAGCTGGTATATGTGAGAGGATACATGGTCCCACAGCCGGTATATATGAGAGGATACATGGTCCCACAGCCGGTATATATGAGAGGATACATGGTCCCACAGCCGGTATATATGAGAGGATACATGGTCCCACAGCCGGTATATATGAGAGGATACATGGTCCCACAGCTGATATATATGAGAGGATACATGGTCCCACAGCTTGTATATATGAGAGAATACATGGTCCCACAGCTTGTATATATGAGAGAATACATGGTCCCACAGCTTGTATATATGAGAGAATACATGGTCCCACAGCTTGTATATATGAGAGAATACATGGTCCCACAGCTTGTATATATGAGAGAATACATGGTCCCACAGCTTGTATATATGAGAGAATACATGGTGCCACATGGATGGGGTCAGTACACATATTGGGTAACAAGTGTCATACTGATTAGTATTTAGGGTTGAACCTCGCACTATAAAGCAATCCATATCTGTATAAATTTGGGCTTTCTCTGTTACCTCCAAGGAGACCCATAGGGTGGCATAACACACTGACAGTTGAGCAATCTGCCCAGCCGGAGAGTAATTAGGAATGTGTGGGATGTTTAAGCTGGAAAAGAACCTTTTTCGATATCTGTGATATGAATGTGAAGGAAGGGGGGTTAGTAAATGGCGGGACTGGATAGGGATACAATCATTTGGGGAGTTGGGTCCGTTTTTAAACATAACAGGATATTTGATATTTTTATCTGTCTTTAAGTTTGATCTGTGGTAAGAGAGTGAAGTAATTGAAGGACTAAAATATATTGTGTTCTAGCTTTACATAAATGCCCCAATGATATTAGTTGTGTAGGCCACGTGTGAAATGGGATTTAGGACATGGAAAGCTTTCAGTTATATTACATGGAGAACAAACAGATTCACATATGAAGAAGTCTGTTCTGATCACCTCCGCACCCCTCCACCTCAGGCTTACACCCCTCCACCTCAGGCTTACACCCCTCCACCTCAGGCTTACACCCCTCCACCTCAGGCTGGGATCGCAGTCTCTACCTGCAGTGCTTGGGTGACCCACTCTTTGCTGTTTTTGGATGGCCTGGCCAGCACACATGAAGGGGGCTAGTAAAATAAGGTCGGCATGCCTCACCTCACACTCACGTCTCTAGCTGGTACAGGGGAAGCAGAGAGACTTGGGTTGACTCTCTATTATGGGAAATTACATGAAGGGGTGTATACGGACCTAAAAAAATCAATCAATATTTCACAATCAATAATAATTCTTTGGAAGACAAAATAGAAACGTTATGAAATATGTACGATGATCATCTGTGTACAACAAGGAACCACAGGCCGCCATATGTTCCCTGTATACTAACTCCCCCAAACAAGTGCCAGTACTAGGTGAGACTTTTGGTTACCTTTTGGTTTTGGGGGAAAAAAAGTAAATCTTGTATACATTGTGGAAGTAACTCTAATTATCTTCTTTCAGGTTCCAGTTGTGACATTCACTTCTGAAGAGTTGGCGTGTGAGCCGATCAGCGATTTTCGGAGACACCCAAATGCTGCCGATAAAAATATTTGCTAGGATACAGAACTCCTGTGAGACCCGTGGTTCCATGTGTGGGGGGCTTATTATTATTATTATTCTGTAATTTGGTCAGTACAACCAATAGCCAACTGTAGGAGGAAGTACATATCCCAGGCTGGGACTCTTATGTTCCACACTGTACAGAGGCGCCTTAACGCCGCAGTGCGGCTTTATCTGTATCTGCAAATAGATGTTTTAAACCTAAGTCTGAAATCCATGAATAAGATCTTTTTATGCTGACTAAGCAGATCGAGTGCCGGGGAATATTTATATTGATTATTGAATTGCCCGGCTAATATGCATCTCCTTTTCACTAGTAACATTGAATCTGAGCGGCCGCCATTTCTTTTGCATTTTTAAATTTGGCACGCCCTGATGTGTTACTGCACCTATAAGGAGGAAGGGGCTACCGCCAAGGCACGCCTGTTCTCAATGTAAGCTTTGCTGTATACTGTATATGTCCCAGTTTGGGAGCTCAGATAGTTTGGAGTTTGGGACCGCACTTTACAGTGTCAGGATGTGGAAGCGGTTATACGTGTATTTGGGAATGTATGGAACCAAAACCTCTGTGTCTCTCTCATCCATTGAGGGACATCTGAAACCTTCAGGTTATATTGCCACCTGTAGGAATATTGGACACTGGCAAACGAAAAAATCTGTGGGCCAAACCTGACCAGACATGGAAATATTAGCATGCCTCATTTTTTGTGCTCGTGTCCACAGAGAACGGGCATGTTTTCCATCTCCGCTTATTCAAGACTTCTTTTTATCTTTTTTTTTTCTTTTCTAGGAACTTTTTTTCTTCAATTGAGATGAATCACCCCGAGCTGCAGTTGGTCTCCTCAGCTTCTCCCAGCTGTGGCTCCCCCATGACTTGGTTGTACTGGGATCTGACCCCGCTGAACATTGCAGGGGGAGCCTAGAAGAGACTCTGTCAAGCTGCCCATACACCTTACAACCATTGCAAGACTTTCGTTGTGCGATGGTTGTAAGGTGATTAAAATTCCGTACAAACTGCCCATCTTGAACAGGCAGATCGTACTTGCGATCATCGCAAGCCCACCCCGCTGAAGGGAGGGCTTGCCGATGATTGCAATGCTGAGCGGGCAGTGTGCGCTTGTGCACACCGGCCCGTTCTGCTTTCGTCTTGCGATCACGCTACGTGCTCGTAAGACGAAAGTACAGTAAATGCGGTCACACGCTGCCCATGCACCTGCCGATTATCATACGATCGCGGGATCACCCGCGATTTTCGTATGATCGTCAAGTGTATGGGCAACTTTATTGGGCTTTGCTTGAACACTTTCCAGACTTTTTTTGTACAGTTACCTGTGGAGTGTTTTTTAGGTTCAGAGCCATTAACATGTCTCTGAAGACTCCCTTACATGAGAAGCTCCCTCATTTGTATTTCCCACTTCCTACCGGCTTGCCACGGAAGGGGTAAACACTGTGGGACACAACTTTGATATCATTCCACTGAATGGAGTAACATGCGTTCTTGCATGCACTCTTGTTTCCAAGAACCACCTGCACTCCTTATGGTCGGCAACCTTCCAATGGTGGCAATGGCATAACAACCAGGGGGGCAGCCGGTGCGGCTGCCCTGGGCACCGAGATGCGGGGGCGGGGGGGCGCCGGCCACCGAGCAGTAACAAGCGGGGCCCGGCAAATGAAAGATTTCTGGGCAGGGCCTGTCTGAACATTTTGCCACGAGGGCCCGTGGCCAGGGCTGCCAACAGGATGGTACAGGCAGCCCTCCTGTACTTGTCGGGCCCCATCAAGTCAGCAGGGGGGGCCTACACCAGGTACAAGCTGCCTGTTATACATGGTCCCACAGCTTGTATATATGAGAGAATACATGGTCCCACAGCTTGTATATATGAGAGAATACATGGTCCCACAGCTTGTATATATGAGAGAATACATGGTCCCACAGCTTGTATATATGAGAGAATACATGGTCCCACAGCTTGTATATATGAGAGAATACATGGTGCCACATGGATGGGGTCAGTACACATATTGGGTAACAAGTGTCATACTGATTAGTATTTAGGGTTGAACCTCGCACTATAAAGCAATCCATATCTGTATAAATTTGGGCTTTCTCTGTTACCTCCAAGGAGACCCATAGGGAGGAATAACACACTGACAGTTGAGCAATCTGCCCAGCCGGAGAGTAATTAGGAATGTGTGGGATGTTTAAGCTGGAAAAGAACCTTTTTCGATATCTGTGATATGAATGTGAAGGAAGGGGGGTTAGTAAATGGCGGGACTGGATAGGGATACAATCATTTGGGGAGTTGGGTCCGTTTTTAAACATAACAGGATATTTGATATTTTTATCTGTCTTTAAGTTTGATCTGTGGTAAGAGAGTGAAGTAATTGAAGGACTAAAATATATTGTGTTCTAGCTTTACATAAATGCCCCAATGATATTAGTTGTGTAGGCCACGTGTGAAATGGGATTTAGGACATGGAAAGCTTTCAGTTATATTACATGGAGAACAAACAGATTCACATATGAAGAAGTCTGTTCTGATCACCTCCGCACCCCTCCACCTCAGGCTTACACCCCTCCACCTCAGGCTTACACCCCTCCACCTCAGGCTTACACCCCTCCACCTCAGGCTGGGATCGCAGTCTCTACCTGCAGTGCTTGGGTGACCCACTCTTTGCTGTTTTTGGATGGCCTGGCCAGCACACATGAAGGGGGCTAGTAAAATAAGGTCGGCATGCCTCACCTCACACTCACGTCTCTAGCTGGTACAGGGGAAGCAGAGAGACTTGGGTTGACTCTCTATTATGGGAAATTACATGAAGGGGTGTATACGGACCTAAAAAAATCAATCAATATTTCACAATCAATAATAATTCTTTGGAAGACAAAATAGAAACGTTATGAAATATGTACGATGATCATCTGTGTACAACAAGGAACCACAGGCCGCCATATGTTCCCTGTATACTAACTCCCCCAAACAAGTGCCAGTACTAGGTGAGACTTTTGGTTACCTTTTGGTTTTGGGGGAAAAAAAGTAAATCTTGTATACATTGTGGAAGTAACTCTAATTATCTTCTTTCAGGTTCCAGTTGTGACATTCACTTCTGAAGAGTTGGCGTGTGAGCCGATCAGCGATTTTCGGAGACACCCAAATGCTGCCGATAAAAATATTTGCTAGGATACAGAACTCCTGTGAGACCCGTGGTTCCATGTGTGGGGGGCTTATTATTATTATTATTCTGTAATTTGGTCAGTACAACCAATAGCCAACTGTAGGAGGAAGTACATATCCCAGGCTGGGACTCTTATGTTCCACACTGTACAGAGGCGCCTTAACGCCGCAGTGCGGCTTTATCTGTATCTGCAAATAGATGTTTTAAACCTAAGTCTGAAATCCATGAATAAGATCTTTTTATGCTGACTAAGCAGATCGAGTGCCGGGGAATATTTATATTGATTATTGAATTGCCCGGCTAATATGCATCTCCTTTTCACTAGTAACATTGAATCTGAGCGGCCGCCATTTCTTTTGCATTTTTAAATTTGGCACGCCCTGATGTGTTACTGCACCTATAAGGAGGAAGGGGCTACCGCCAAGGCACGCCTGTTCTCAATGTAAGCTTTGCTGTATACTGTATATGTCCCAGTTTGGGAGCTCAGATAGTTTAGAGTTTGGGACCGCACTTTACAGTGTCAGGACGTGGAAGCGGTTATACGTGTATTTGAGAATGTATGGAACCAAAACCTCTGTGTGTCTCTCATCCATTGAGGGACATCTGAAACCTTCAGGTTATATTGCCACCTGTAGGAATATTGGACACTGGCAAACGAAAAAATCTGTGGGCCAAACCTGACCAGACATGGAAATATTAGCATGCCTCATTTTTTGTGCTCGTGTCCACAGAGAACGGGCATGTTTTCCATCTCCGCTTATTCAAGACTTCTTTTTATCTTTTTTTTTTCTTTTCTAGGAACTTTTTTTCTTCAATTGAGATGAATCACCCCGAGCTGCAGTTGGTCTCCTCAGCTTCTCCCAGCTGTGGCTCCCCCATGACTTGGTTGTACTGGGATCTGACCCCGCTGAACATTGCAGGGGGAGCCTAGAAGAGACTCTGTCAAGCTGCCCATACACCTTACAACCATTGCAAGACTTTCGTTGTGCGATGGTTGTAAGGTGATTAAAATTCCGTACAAACTGCCCATCTTGAACAGGCAGATCGTACTTGCGATCATCGCAAGCCCACCCCGCTGAAGGGAGGGCTTGCCGATGATTGCAATGCTGAGCGGGCAGTGTGCGCTTGTGCACACCGGCCCGTTCTGCTTTCGTCTTGCGATCACGCTACGTGCTCGTAAGACGAAAGTACAGTAAATGCGGTCACACGCTGCCCATGCACCTGCCGATTATCATACGATCGCGGGATCACCCGCGATTTTCGTATGATCGTCAAGTGTATGGGCAACTTTATTGGGCTTTGCTTGAACACTTTCCAGACTTTTTTTGTACAGTTACCTGTGGAGTGTTTTTTAGGTTCAGAGCCATTAACATGTCTCTGAAGACTCCCTTACATGAGAAGCTCCCTCATTTGTATTTCCCACTTCCTACCGGCTTGCCACGGAAGGGGTAAACACTGTGGGACACAACTTTGATATCATTCCACTGAATGGAGTAACATGCGTTCTTGCATGCACTCTTGTTTCCAAGAACCACCTGCACTCCTTATGGTCGGCAACCTTCCAATGGTGGCAATGGCATAACAACCAGGGGGGCAGCCGGTGCGGCTGCCCTGGGCACCGAGATGCGGGGGCGGGGGGGCGCCGGCCGCCGAGCAGTAACAAGCGGGGCCCGGCAAATGAAAGATTTCTGGGCAGGGCCTGTCTGAACATTTTGCCACGAGGGCCCGTGGCCAGGGCTGCCAACAGGATGGTACAGGCAGCCCTCCTGTACTTGTCGGGCCCCATCAAGTCAGCAGGGGGGGCCTACACCAGGTACAAGCTGCCTGTACTGAAGGAGGAAGGTCCCGCCCACTTGCCCGGGTAACCTGTAGGAGGGCACATCCGCTGGCCCCACCGTGTGGTCCCGGCAGTCCGCAGCAGTGGATGATCCGACCGGACTCAGCAGAGCGCTAAGCCAGCTCGGAAGCCGTCATGTTTCCAGGGCCGACTGCAGACTGCAGACTGATTTCAGCCCGGGCAGCGGCCTTAGGAAGTTCCCATCCAAACCTGGAGCTGGCGTTGAGCCTGCTGGCCAATAATGGCACAGAGCCTGGGAGCCGTGTGCAGGTGAGTGCTGGCCAATAACGGCACAGAGCCTGGGAGCCGTGTGCAGGTGAGCCTCGACCCTTTCAGCTGTGTCCCCCGCCCCTCCCCCGCTACCCCCCCCCCTCAGCTATCCCATCCCCATATATGCCTTCCTGTATATACCTCCCAATAAATACCTCCCCATATATACACCTCCCCATATATACCTTCCTGTATACACCTTCCAATAAATACCTGCCCATATATACCTTCCTGTATACACCTCATGATTCCCTGTACATACCTTCCCATATACACCTCATACCTCCTGTATATATCTCCATTTTGAAAATGTGTTCTCTCATTTTTTTCTTTTACAATTGTTACATATTTGCATAGTCAGACCAGGGCAGCCATCAGAAATTTTGGGGCCCCTTACACGGCTTTAGGCCGCCGACACACTGAGCCAATCACACACTATTATTATACATGTATATAGCTCTGACATATACCGCAGTGCTGTACAGGGAACACTGAGCCTGGGCTTAGTGATGCGGCGGACGCGGGGCTTAGTGACGCGGCGGACGCGGGGCTTAGTGACGCGGCGGACGCGGGGCTTAGTGACGCGGCGGACGCGGGGCTTAGTGACGCGGCGGACGCGGGGCTTAGTGAACCGCTGGACACAGGACCCACCTGAGACCTCGCATACCTGAGAGTGACCCTGCAGAGCCCACCATAAATGCTCCACAGCCCATCTGATACTCTCTATGGTGGTCTCTGCAGGGGTCTCAGGTGAGCTGGGCCGGGCTGCACCTCTCCCTCCCTCCCAGCTCCTCTTACCTTCTCACCAGGTCTCCTCTGTCACCGGACGTGACGTGATGTCACTTCCGGTCGGTCCGAGATCAGTAGAGCAGCGGCACTGATGGTCCCCCAGCCTGCTCTGATGCTG